TCGTTACGCCGGGATATCAACTCAACTTGTACAGAATGATTAATATCAATGTAAATGCGAAGGATTAGAATCAGCAGCGAGTTACGTTACACGTTCACTAGCCTTCATCGTGTTTCTTCACTGTCTCAACTTGGTTATCGGTTAAAAAAACTTTGGCAACATTCGCTTGGATCTCGTTTTTCTCGTGTTCGCGTATTCAGCTTGTTCACTTTCACCGCAATCTTCAGTCCCTGTTCTCATATGTTGGGCTTCTCCGTCTCTGTCTCTTTTTACAGCTACATTCGCTGTCTTCCAATGAGCGCTCGCTCGCTCCACATACCGCCTTCGAGGCATCATTAGCCGGCATTGTGCTCGCAACACGTATACCCACTCGAGGTAAGAGTTACCGCGACACCCGCTGCGCCAGCAAGATCTGCGATAGAGTTAATGATGCTGGGACCGCGGCGATTTAACAATAAGCCGCATTATTTACAGTCGGCTCTCGGCTCCATTACCACCGGTTGTCCGCCTCACCTGGCCGTGGCTCTCTCTCTCTCTCTCTCTCTCTCTCTCTCTCTCTCTCTCTCTCTCTCTCTCTCTCTCTCTTCGTCCCCTTCTTACACACGCGGCTCCCGTCGCTGCCTCTCTGTTTCTCCTCCATGTCCTTGCCGCCGCTCGTATGTCTCGACCGGCGGCTTACATTACTTCACCGCAAATGCCCACGGAGCGATATTAAACCTTTATAATCAGTCGGCACCTACGCGGCACGAACGTATTTATGCGAGTGGGTATATATTCATTTGTGTCCGCGGAATGATGTACGCGAATGTTGGCGCGGTGCGAAAGGTAATTGGCAATGTATCCTTTTGTTGCGCGATGTATAAACTCACCGCCTACCGACTAAATTATTTTTTCTAGAAAGTCGACGGCGGCTCCTCCTCACGCTCTCTTGAGATTTTTTTATACCGTAGCACGTTAAAATAATAGAGAATAAGATTATTTGTAAACAGCGACATAGTTTTTTTTTCTTTTTCACGAGAGTTAATAGTGCGATCTCTGATGAACTTTTTTTCTTTTTAATTAGACGAACTTGTTAATCACACGGAGGGATGGTTCATTAAATGGTCCATCGTAATTATCGGGTGGAGTACCGGCGCAATTGGTGACTTTCGAAGGAGCGGGCGTACTTGAAAGGAAAAGGGGCAGGCCCAACATTTCTAAGAGAGGGCGTGGACGTTGTTAGTGTACCCTTTGCGGGTCTTCTTCGAAAGCCATTAAAGAGGAAATTTGTCGATCGCTAACTTCCGCTTTTATTCTCAAATAATTGCGCTTATAATGCGGTTAATTTTTTCTCGATGATACGCGAATATCAGCTTTTCCGCGTGCGAATAGTCAACCTATTAGCAACGTGTGTTTCCAGTGAGTTTCAACTAGATTGCTAATATCTTTCCTGCCCGATAACAGTCCATATGTGGTATGAAAATTACGTAGATGGTGAATATTACACGAAACGTGGGCAAACCGATGGAGAAAGGTTTGTCGGAGTCCGCAAGAGCGATAGCATGATAATAACTTCTGGGGTTTCAAGTTCCGTGAGGTTTAATTTTGGCTAAAGCTTAATAGCCGCAGCGGGAGGTTGCTCGTTACATCTGCTACAAACCGGTGGCCAAAGCGGGTACGCGCGACAACACGCTAGGGAAATATGTACAGGAGTTTCAATCAGTACAGCAATCCTAAAGATTTCCTGATCTCGTTGGTTTGTGCACGTAATTAAGTTAAAAGTACTTAGTGTTCGTAAAATGCGCTATTGAAATATTTGTATTCCTTTAAATAGCCATTTGCAATGGTTGTTCTTAAAACAACTTTCAGGGCCAATGTTCGCTCAAGTTACTCTTCGATTTTCTGCCAATAATTGTTGTCGCAGTGGTCGCAGTGGTTGAAAGTGGAGAAATTTTGATAACAGAGGACATTAAGCTCTCTGCAAGAAAAGTTTAATGGAATGTGAAATTTCCGTAGCAATGCAAAAAAGATGAGATTGTCGGCCCGTGCGATACATACAATTTTTTTTTCACGCATGAAGAGAGATCTTAAAGATAGAAGAATGTAAGGAGGAACACTTAACAACTGTCTTAGGTAAAAAGTATATAAAATTGCGAATACCGTCATCTAACTTTAAGCGGCTCTAAATTTGTCCTTTGGAATTTAAAATGAATCCACCTGATGTGGCGCTACGGAAGTATGCTATAAATCCTAATTAATTGCCGGACAACTCCCATAAATATGTCAACGAGTATCAAAAACAGCAACTCCCGTCCAGTTCTTAAAAGTTTTACGGCGGTCTTTATGAAAGATATCACGCTGGACGATGCTGATTGCTCACGAATAAATTTACTAGTTATTAAATTCTTGTTATTCTACTGAAAATATACCGAGTACAAAAAGTCTACGCGTCTAATTTTATCAGAGATTGGACGCATGTAATATACATACATTTTCCCTCATTTCGTAATTAAGTAATGCATCTTACACTTTTAATTAATCATATACAGGATTAATATAGCTTTTTGAATTCGGACCTTCCGAATTAATTTTCTTTTACTGAATTTTTATATAGCTATTAGATGGCATGACGACGACTGACATCATACATGTCGTTTACATCTTAATGTCATTGCATTCGATGTATTCGACATGATTAGTCAAAATGTAATATAAGAAGTAATTAAGCGAGTTATCAACGAGTTACCTAACTTTATCCGAGAGATATTCGAGCCAGTCCTGTTTAATGGCTTCTACGCGTTTAAATATCTTAGCTTAAATTTGTGGCATTTTTTTTTACGAGCGATAGCTTGAGACGCTAATTATAATTTTATTGCCTAAACACACATTTCAACTTCTCCAGTTCGTCATTTTCAAATTAACGGACGGAGAAACCGGTTGCATACTTCTATTTCTGCATTGGGCAGTGTCCTAAAATATTCTTCAAACGAGAAATTATCCTCTTATGAGATCTTGCAAAAATAAAATGAATTTCTACCTCGAGCTTGATATCAATCATGTTGTATTAAGTTTTTCACTGATTAAAATTAGAAATATAACCAACGAGTGGTGCGAACCATATTATTTGGCTCATCTACTTGATATTTTCGTTCTGATGTTCTGATGTTTGACGTTAATCACACGCTAATCATGGAAAATACGTGCCCAAAACCGTCAAAACTCGGTTAGCATCGGCATGGCGGTATCGGTGACAGTGGACGGATTAAAATATGGTCATTTACTTGCATCGTATTCTATTTAACAAATACGTCGCATCTGTCCTAACCCTCCTCCTCCCTTAATGAATTCCTGATTTATCATCCATTAAGGTGTCAGGACGCGCTCGGATTTCGTTGCTCCGCACGGACCAGCGGAAATTTATGTGGATAGGTGTGATTAATGCGATGTTCGCGGAAACACACGGACATCTGTGTTAATGGTGACGGATGGCCGCGCTAATGGTGTCAGCCAGCGACAGGCGTCCTCGCCGCGTTCTCCTCCGTCGCGTTCTAGAGTTCTGACCGGCTCCTTCGTGAACACGTATTTACTTCATATACGAGCCAATAGCGTCTCGTTAGCAGCAATCATCATCGCGATGATGCGACATCGCGAGTACGTTATTAAAAGTATAAATTATATAGCGTGACACAAAGCAACGTTAATGTCATCCCGCACTCTGAGTTCTCTGGGGGAGGGGAGGGGGGGTGGGTCACTAAAAAATGCCAGATCGAACGCGTCATATCTGGATATAATGGATACGATCCGCGTCAGAGATACAGAGAATAGCCGTAGGCATTTGCGATTAGAATTGCCAGAATTGCTCGATTATACACGCATTGCATCTGCGTCTCGCGTATCTCGCGTATTTCACCGTTTCTTAATAATTAAGAAACGATATTTCTCCACCGCACATCGCTAATCGCCGTCGTCGGATAGTTGCTCACGTGGAGTCGGACGGGCAATAAATCGGTCGTCGAAACAAACAACACGGGTTCGCGACCGAACTGATTTTTTCCCCGGAACTGCGCGATTACCAGTGGACTAAGCGAGAACTACGAGAACCTGGATCCAGGATGCCCCTCGAATGGAAAGGGAAGAAAAGCTGCCGAGCGCGTTGGGTAGGCAGGTAGGCAGGCAGGCAGATATTGAGCTCTATATTTCCATAAGCTGATATTTACGCGGCAATATACGCGGTCGTGCTCGCTACTTTATGGGCCTCGTAAATATAGCGGGCCGCCGGGAATTGGCTGGCAAGGCGGCCGCGTTCTCTTTCGCTCTCCTCTTGCACTCCCCCCCCCTACCCGCCTCTCCTCCGCCCCTCTCTCCCTCTTTCAGTACTTCTCTTTCTATATTCCCCATGCCTGCCTGCCTGCCTGCCTGCCTGCCTGCCTGCCTACCTACCTTCATCCGGCCCAGAGACATAAATCGCCGCCAATTGTAAATAATACGCGACGTATGCTGATCTCCGTTCCTACGTATCGTGTACGCATACACGTGCGCGCCTAGCCAACGCAAGCAGTCAGCGGGAATTTAGTTATTTTTTGAGTCCTCGCTATATCTGTTTATGTGGTTTATAGTAATATCTATATCGGGGATGAATTTATTACGCATGACGGATATTACGCAGGCAGGGAGGAGAGATTTTTATTTCGCATGATCTCTCATTATTATTTTATCACACCCTTACCGGCGTATATTTCAGACTTAAGCAATTTCCCCAGCACCGGTAGGCGGTGGAAGGAACGGCGAAGAAGCTGATGACACGATGAAAATTTGATTTTGAGGAAGGTCTTTACAACAAACTGATAAATGTCTCGCTCAGAAAAATACGACTGGCGGTAGTGCCAGGCTACATATGTCATCGGGTGAAAACGCGCGCGCACGTGTGCGTGTGTACCTCAGCCGAACGTGAAGCACGACGGCGCGGTGACGTCAGCCGTGAAATTTTTCTAACTCTTACCCCGCCGACGAACGACTGAGTTATGGCTGCGAGTTGCCGCGGAGAGTTGAAAGCACTTGGATTTCACATACTTTAACTGGATGCGCGCCTCACTCGCATATGTACGATCGTATGGCGCGAGTGCATGCCGGCGAGTGCGGCGACGGCGGCGACGGCGGCGCACACCTTCGAGTGTGATGGATGACAGCGCGCGTTGCATACCGCGCCAAGCGGATCCGTACGACGTATTAATTCGTCCGTGGAATAGAACCGACACTTCTGATTTCTTAGCGCGGTGACATATTGTGTAAGTGTCAGCTATATTGCACGCCTAATGATAATGGCTTCAGCGATACATTGTTTCTGTTCACTTGTGGTGAGCGTCATTTCAAGTGAGTTACGTATTCTGCATTTCTTACGTAAGGAGAGAGAGAGAGAGAGAGAGAGAGAGAGAGAGAAAGAGAGACCAAAATTCGTTAAAGGGAATTATTTTTCAATATTTCGAAACTTACAATTGACAATATAAATTCTTCTCACCTTATGGTGAGAACTGGTTCTTACCATTACAATGTATCCTGTGTGTTATCGAAAATCGATGGATAAGAAAATAATACTAATTGGACGGACTTTATAATCTCTGCGATGAGATCTTGTCGTAGTTGTTTTAAAACATGTCCGTTTGTACAAAAAATTATTGAAACTCTGGAAATAATATTTCGAGATTTTTTTTCCCCAATTCAGCCATATATAACCTCGGAACATCACGGACACCGCGTCACTGAATTTCTACGTTGATCGAAAGCAAGTCAAATCTTCCTACAAGATCTTACTTGTATCCCTGACTTTGGTTGGCAGCCGGTGATTATCGGCAAGGCGGATGGAGGAGGAAAAGGCAGCAGGGGAAGGGCCTGATAGATGGGAGCGCGTCCCGTCGATATTTCTCCGCCACACGCTACTACTTTATCATCCCCCGGCACCGATCGTCCATCATCCGCAATCACTTCCTTGCGCATTCACTCCCGGCGAGCAGTGCGGATCAATCCAAATTTCGTCCCGCAGTATGTTCTCACTCACACGTTTACGTATTAAATATGCATTTTAAATATACACGGGTGGTATGCAGCAAATCGTTATCATTATTTGTGAATGTACGATAAAAGCGAGGAAAGAAAGAGAAAGAGGATGAGAGAAAAACGAAGAGACTGTCAATCTATAAATAACGTCCGAATAAAGTGGAGCTAATAACTAAACATTTTTAACGTGAAGATTTTTAACTGACTAGAAAATAACAGTTACGACGTTAATGAAACTGCTCGTTACAGCTGCATTTTGTACTCGGGTACAAATGATTGTGAAATCTTCCTAATGACGAAACGATTAATGCACTCCTGGCACGCTAGAATCTCATTCAAGGTTCCCGTAAAAGGCGACGTTAATTTTCATTGCAACGAATCGACAATGGTTCTTGCTTCTAATGAGATTTTAATGTGATTTTCGGTTCCGCATAAACCTGTGTTTTGCTGCATTCTTTATTTTCATATAATTTGTTAATGTAAGTTGCACGTTAAAACACAATCGTACGCTTCATTTTTATACCGCTCTTAATTCAATTTGCCCTGACTGAATTACCAATATTACTAATTATCTGGAATATTACTGTTCTGTCAAATAACTATAATGCCCGCGTAACTTGCGTAAAAATTATTTCTTAACGACTTCAATTCACTTCATCTTCCTGATTTATAAAATTCTCGAAAAGCATGAAACAGTGCGGAGGAGGGGGGCGGGGGAGGGAGAAGGAGAGAGAGAGAGAGAGAGAGAGAGAGAGAGAGAGAGAGAGAGAGAGAGAGAGAGAGAGAGAGAGAGAGAGAGAGAGAGAGAGAGAGAGAGAGAGAGAGAGAGAGAGAGAGAGAGAGAGAGAGAGAGAGAGAGACAGAGAAAGAAGGATCATTTTAAGTTTATACTTATTCGGGATATATTAAGAATCAACATAACGTGTGTGCCAGCTAACAACTGTGTTCAAATATCTGATATTTCCAGGATGATTCTCGAATAAAACTTCAGATTTTTCACTACACGCTTCTTCGTGGTCTTTTACGAAAGATGCTCTTCTTCGGCAAACCCAACGTCATTTATCTCGCGGTTTCTTGTCTTCTTTCCACTCCATTTACCGTTACGTTCAGAACATTAATTTCCCCTTATAGCCACGAAGAGCTGTGTTTATCATTAGTTTCCCGCTGCTTAGCTCTGTAAAATATATAAGACTTCCTACACGCCGGAAGCTTATGCCTACATCGCATGTATAAACTCTATGCAGTACATAATAATATCCACGGTGAAGACCAAACGATCGAAAAAAGCACACAGCTGTTGGCCGTAACTTCCTCGAATAAGTATCTTCAAACGTTGCAGTAACTGTCAGAAGGGGAGCCGGCGGAAAGCCTGATATAGGGTATACGCCTGCCTGGATTTGTTCTGAAAATCTCTCGTTCTTACAAACAGCGGCATAAACGGGCGTCGATTACGTTTAGCCTCCGAGAATTTTATTACACGTTTCTTGGAAGCTTCCTCCAAATTGTCAGTAGCAGTAAATTTTTGTTGCTGGTATTTCTGCGACTGGGATATTATTATATATTCATTCAAGCTCTTATTGTAGTATAGCCTAAACTCACATGGAACAATGCAAGTTCTTTAGGACACGTGTACATGCACAATTTGCACAAGTGTATAAAGTTATATTTTACATGGTGATGTTACTTTATTTCATTTGCAGTAGTTGCCTGATCTCGTTCATGAATAATGTGCATAATTCTCATTTATTCTCTTTCACACTTATGCCTGATGATTATGTTGAGATCTATGCGTATAAAATAAATCGGATAATATAATCTATGGGTTATCGAAGTCAATAATGCAAGGAATTTACGACGAACCAAGCCGTTAACTTAATTTCCCTTGCTGTAAGTAACGATGCGTGACTGGACGATGATTGGGTACGATTCGGCATTAAAGAGACGTTGAAATATGTGCGTAATAAAATACAAACTACTCTCTTCATCCGTAAAATACATCAAAATTGATATCGAGAAAATATTACGATAGTGTATTGTGAAATTGGTTGCTTTCATGAGTCGTAAAACCGCTTGATTATTACTATATAAAAAACTAATATTGCAAAGTTTATTACATTAACTTGGTCTAATAAGAAAATCACGACGCGAGCAAATTAAGCCACATTTACATCGTTATTGGAAACTTGGACGCATAACTTCAGATTCATCGCAATCCAAATCCCCGTTTTATTATTAGGATCTAGGAAACTTAACATAATGTGCGTAAAGTCTAGTTCCCTGGTCGGTCTGGTTGTTGCCTTGCTACTTTGCTATCCAATTGACAGCAATATGAGAGCCAATAGGAATATATGATATAACAATGGACGAGATTACACGATGTTCTGTATCGAAAGGACCCTCGTACTGTTACAATTCCCATTTATGTTATATCATCATATTGACCATGCCAGAAAGAAAGAAAGAAAGAAAGAAAGAAAAAGAGAAGGGACAAAGGTGACCGTTTGTTTTAGTTATATTCCAGGCGCGCGGTATTGTCAGTACTGTTAGCATGTTGTTTTGTGTCACACCTCAGAAAAATCCTTTAAAGTCCACGGCAAGCGATATTTGATCGACCACGTTGATTGTTCTCCTTTTTATTGCTAATTTGCTGATTGCTTACTGCTTATTTCTTGTCTTGTTACTCGTGCTCTTGTACGTGCCACGAGCCTAAATACTTGACCCGTCATGAGAACTCATAGGATTGGCGTCCATGCGCATCGTTTAGTGCGTTCTACTTCCATATCCAGTAGAGGGCGTAACGTCTCTATATCGGGGATTAACCGTATTAACCGATAATCGGCGATAATACGATAATATTTAGCGCGCGATTGCACGACGCTTATCGTCGTAACGCACAACGTTTAGCAGTTTCTCGGAATAAACGCGGCGACTGTAGTAGTAGTAGTAGTACTAGTAGTAGTACTAGTAGTAGTAGTGGTAGTAGTAGTCTGTGGATGTCACGGGAGTACTTTCGGCGGCGCGGAGGGTATTTTCGTGGAGCTTTAACGACGTGTCACGAGATCTACGAGGCTGTTTGTCGGTGAGCACAAAAATAGACCTCACTCTGCACTCACTTCATCACTCAGCCTGCGGCATCGGGACTCCCCCTTCTTCGTGTTCACATACGACGACGGCCGGTTAGCCGAGAAGACTGGCACGCAACGCGACGTCGTACGTGCCATTAGCTGAGCGCGTCGGGACGCTCCTGCCAGATTAACCTTAGCCGTGCCGGAGCAGGGCAGCAAGGAGCAAAGGGGGAAGGTTTACGTTCGTGCCCACAATTTCATTGAAGCTGTGCATTTTAAGGATTTTATGCCACCGTCCTGACGGCAACGGGCGCTTTATCGTTGGAATGCACGACGTGGACAGACACGTTCACGGGCGAGCGAGCGACGTATATTTAAACGGCACAGTTGTAAAGCTAGATGGAGTTTGAAGCCCGGCCCGGTCTTGGTAGACGCCGAGACGTCGTCGACGAACGAGTAGCGAGGTGAGGAGCTTTTCGGAGCGTACTTACAAAGTAGTTTCGTGTTTGAACTGTTGCCGATTGTAATCGCGACGATATACGACCTAATTACATTGCCGATGTTAATTAACAAGGCGCGAGCTTCCCAGAGCGTTAGACCGGCAATTAATGCGGCTGCAACCGCACGAAGGCTCGTGTACGCTATCGAGTCGAAAGATTTGCTCACAAGGGCACTACTACGTCGCCCGCCGAGAGAGGGTTTGCTTGAGGGAATTTCTTCGCTTGGAGGAGAATTGCTAATTGCCAAGTTCACTGAAATTTTTCGGAAGACCGATGATAGGTTCGTTCGCGCGCGCGCGCGCGCGCGCGCGCGGCTCGTTCATGATTAAACGGCGAGCGTACTTTCCGTGTCGTCATTTTAAAGAAACATTATAAAGGAATAATGCTCAGGACTTTACATTGACTTGACTTACGACAGGACGGGCTGTTTATCACGACGCCAACTGACGGTCGTGCCGCTCACAGGACGATAAAACGAATGAGCTATGCGAGCAACACACTGAGAAATGGCTCGCCTCTTAGAAGACCTTTCGTTGCGACACCGATTTTAAATTAGAATTTATAGGATGTCTGAAGGGAGGCATTCCGACGTTTGCCGCCGTGTTAACACGTGGAATGCGTTTACTCTTAATCTACCTACATTCCCCTCTTCCACGTAAATGCTTTTTAGTAATAACTTTTCGAGTGTGCTCAGCGTCCGCGATGATTATCGCGCGGCGGTATTAATTGCACGTTATTCCCGGCGCACACCGGCACCACCGATCGTAAGACGGTCGCATGCATCTTATCGACACTCCCGCCCATTTAATCGTTTAAACCGGCGGTGTAAATTATCGTGAACATGATATTTTTACATTTGGAAATCGCTCGACGATGGACACGATGAGAGAAACATTCGTCAAGTAACGCGGCTGGCAGCGGCTCGGGTCTTGAAAATTTCAATCTCGCGGCACGTCAGGGGCATGAAAATAATTCAGATCGCTCGCTTACGTCTTTTAAGTCGCGCATCAATCTATCTGCCACGGACGAGGCGTGTTGCGATGAAAAGACGAATGCTAACGCGGATAGGTGTGTACTGGCGTGAGGCCAACTTACGGTCAGTATGTTTATTCTGGCCAACTGGCTTATGCTCTGAGCTCAATGTGTATCGCGGATTGCATTTCGCGGCGGACGTTTCTACTGAGCACTCTGAAATTTTCATCGCGGACTAAACGCCAATTAATCGGGCTGTATCACAGGTACACGGATCGGAATGAAGGATTGTCCGCGAAGGACACTGTCTCGCAGCAGCAAGCGCAAGCAGCAGCAAGGGCAAGTAAGTTTCGCCCGAACGAACGGTGTACGTGCTCAAAATATCGCACACAAAGGTCACTTGAGATAAACTTTTTTTCCCCCGCGGCGCAGCTTGCAGGCAGATTGCCTAATGGATGAGCAATGGTCTTGAATGATGGTGCAATCTAAAGCGACGGCCGACCGACGGCGAAACGAAGAGCTTAGACACACTCTAGCTTAGCATACTGACGCGGGTACGCGTAGGAATAAAGTGCCGATGTAAATGACGTTTGGCATTGCGCCGCGGCATTAATAGCCGCCGGATGTCGAGTATTTTATCGCTGGTAACCTTTCCGCGCATGCAACCCGGCGGTTCCGCACGCCGGACAACCGTTACCGTATGAGGGTCCGCGCAGCATTTCCTTGCAAGGAAACGTCGGCCGGTGCATACCTAATGAGCGCACCGATAGCGCGGTTTCTTAATGGAGTTCGATTGGGGCTATTAATTACTATGCTCGGCGCACGCGAAATAAACGCCCGACGCGCCGGGTAGCGCTCATTTGCATCGCTTACAGCGGTTTCCATGTGTTTAATTGCTCATCCCCGGCGTTATTTTATGACTGGATCCTATCCGTTAGACGTCACTGATTAACATTTACCGCTGGCCCGGACAATATAGCAAGATGCAATAAAACATGATTAACAGATGATGGTAGTGTAAGGTGGTACGGCGGGATTTTTCCGGTTGAAATAAAATGCGCATCCACGCTCGCGCGCACACGCTCCAAGGTTCAGCGGAAAAATAAAACTATACGCGTCGATCGTCCATTAAAGTTGCTCGATCCAACGCTGATACGACACGATTGTTGTTGATATTTTCGATAAGAAATTTAAGGTTCTCTCCGCGATTGAATATTAATACCGGCACAACTTTCACCAGCAGGAGAAACTCAACTCCAATTGCAGAACCAAGCAAGATGGAAACGATTTCACATGATTTCAGCTAAAATGTAAGAATGTTGTAATATATCAATGTCACAACGCTTCAGTAATTATAACGTTCAGATAATTAACGGAGATATCTGTTCTATCAAAATAATCATCACATCACGCCTTCGCGGATACGCGGATCCGCGTTTCGCGCAATATCGTTACCGCGCGCACAAGGCGTAAGACAGTAATTAGGTATGAGGTAGATATTATTAATATCAACCGAGGCAGTTGTTAAACACACGGAAGTCACCGCAAACGAAGCGTGAGTGCAAGCAACTCCCGAACGTAAAATATTTATTTTGCGTGAGCCTGAGTTTTCAAGATATTCCCTGCGTCGTTGAGAGTTATGTTTTCACGTACAGATAGTACGACGTTATTTAAATCCTGTTTTTTAAATCCTACTAATGACCGCATTGCGGAATTTTAAAATTCATTTATTTTGTTATGAAAATTGTGTGACTTCCTTTTGCTGTTTTCTACAATCTTCATAATAAATAAAATAAATAAACTTATACGTACATATAAAATTGCATTTCTTCTGCGATTCTTCTTTTCAAATTGAAATTAGCTTACTTACATTAGTTACTTGCACGGGATGTGTCTTGTACTGCGAGTAATTATCATTATTACGAAAAATCATTGAATGCAACAAGCAGAAAAAAAGCGCTACATCTCCTCTACATTCTCGCGATAAAGCTTACATAACGCATCAGCCGAAAAAGCTCGTACAGGTCCTATTTTCATCGTGTCATGCGCTGCCATAAATAACACCGGCTGCCACGCGTTCGGTAAATATTTGTTTGTTCATGCGGAAATATGTTTATCGAAATTGACAAATTAATTGGCTCTCCGCTAATCCGACAAAAATCTGTTTTCGAATGATCGAGTACGAGCAATTGGCGAGCATTGAGCATGTCATATATAAAAAAAAAAAAAGCTTTATCCGTAAGAGAAATAACTATATATCACATTAAATTTGTAAAAGAAAGATCGGTTATGATTTTATTGTAATTTATCTATTTTTCATCGACGCCGTTACACTGTAATTTCCGATTGTCAGTTTTATCGTTCGATTTAACGAATCAACTATACCTCCATCTCTTTTTCTCAAATTACGCTCTCTGGCAATTTTTGTTACGTGTGATCTTCTAGGCTGAGTTCCACTTAACGCCTGCAGCGATCGCGATATCATTCTATTTTTATTTAATATACAGTGAAAAATAAGAATAGAATGATGCCGCGATCGTTGCGAGCGTTAAATCATTGCGAGCCTGTAATATTAGGTGCGCTCTGGAACATTATTCGTTGATTTATGTGTATAGAAGAAGAATTGGGACCAGAATTCGTACAGTAATTAAGCGAAAGGTATCCCCAGGGGAACGCCGGAAACGCCGCTGCGTCCTGTTGATGTACGGAGTCATCGGGTGTAATCCGCGCTTGTTGAATGATTTTACATCTCTATTTACACCGCTGACAAAGCCCCGCACAGCGTATGTAGATAAAGCAAGAATGATATCAACATGAAAAACTCGTCGACGCACGCCCCAGCCCCGTCGTGTCGCGACGCGCAATAAATTAATGGCTGGCCATCATTGCACTCATACAGCCGTGCACTCTCATATGGACACTCCGTGACGCATCATTAATCTTCTCATTATAAATGCGAGCCGCTGCTTTACCGCGGTCTGACAGTGTGCACGAAAATAAATTGCCGTGCATCGCGCGTCTGTACTTTCATTTGATATTTAAAATGACCACGGTGCGGAGCGCGCGCGCGCCTGTGCGCCTCCACGACGCTCGGAGACAAATTGCTCATTTGCATAATGCCGTTATTTATTAATGATCGTGATACAGGTACTTGGGGCGCAACATAAATAGTCACCTGCAGCGGCGGCCGATGCGCAATCTTCTAATTCGATATCCAATCGCCGAATCGTCGCGGATAATTCGTTCCGCGGCCTGCCTCTGAGGTAGTTAACGGATGTTAAAGTGCGCATAATCGATCGATGAATAATCGCGACGGTGCGTAAAGTACAATCGAGGATTCATCGCCGCGCGATATTACGTGCACTGTTCTCCACTGTCGTACAAATTTACGGAGGTACTTCGTACTATTCGTTCGTAAAGAGCGGTAGGAGGGAGAGGTAGGACGGGGACGGGGACGGGGGGGGGGAGGAGGAGGATGGGGATCGCGTTTAAAGAAGAACAGAAATTGAATCCTCGCAGAGAGGTTATACGATCTGCCAAGCCGCTAACGAAATCGGAATCAAACGGAATACAGCCGTCCGAGGAGGGATAGAATGTGAAATATGGGTGAAAGCGTGCGCGGGGTAAATTGCTCATACAAGCGTGCCAAGCGTGGAATTCGCGCGACTTGCTGGCGTAACCAAGATATACGAGCACTTTTCCCCGAAAAAGTGTTAAGGAATTATGCTTCGTAGAGTAAATGAGATGTGTCTGCGCCGGGACATAGATCACCGGAACGCCATCCATTCTCACCACCGTGGAAATAAATACGATCTTCTCTGTGAAAGAGGCTGTGGAGGATCGTGCAGCCGCCTCTGCCACTACCGCCGCCGCCGCCGCCGCTGCCGCCACCACCACCACCACCACCACCACCACCACCGCCGCCGCCGCCACCTCCTCCGCCACCATCGCGCCGCCGCCGCCGCTGCCGCCGCCGCCGCCGTCGTCGTCGCCGAAGAGTAGAAAGAAGAAGAACCAGCGTGGTAGTCGGAGAGGGCGAGAACGACGGCGAAGACGGTAAGCCGGAGGGGGATAGCGAAATCGTCTCCTGGCGGCCCGCATCCCGCAGCACATCTTTCTACTCGACACCCGGGGAGATCCAACGTAGCCATTTCTCTGCCCTGTTATATGCCGCCTATATACGTATCTACTACCCCCGGTAGGTACCTACAGCCAGCAAATAAATTGATCCATTACTCAACCGAGCAGTCATCTTCCCTCCTTTGCCTCGGTTCGTTCACTTCACTCCTCGGCTCGCGTTCTCCTACCGCGAGCCTTTTTCCTCGAGACTTTTCTGGGAATTTTGCCAGAGATTCGGTAAAGCCCCTTTCACGCTCTGTTGCGGAGACGATGATACGTTGCGATTTACTCGTCGCGACCACTGCCGAAAGTGAGGCCACCTCCTCCCTCAGCAGCTTTCGAACGAAATAATCGATGGGCCTTCATTTGAATCGTCCGCTTCTGACCACTCATAAACACGTGTTAAACACGATGCGGTTCCTCCATTTTACCAGTGTATTCATTCTCTCCTCCCCCCTTTCTCATGTACACGTGTGTGTGTGTGTGTGTGTGTGTGTGTGTGTGTGCGTGCGTGTGTGTGTATGTACGTGTGTGTCTCATCTTCAATTATTCATAAAGCCACGTTGTCAAATGTCTGTTACTTCACATATGTTGAAGCCGAGTCTTTTCCTTTCTTGGATTTTTCTTGCCTTCTTTCTTTCCGGCGATGATCAAATAATTCCTTTATCCACCCGCGGCGAAGGGTCGTAGAATATTAAAATGTATGAGCAGTTTTCTGCGCGCATTCTTCTGCCTTTTCCTTTTAACTTGTCAAATATGTTGTCTTACCTTCGTGCACGTTATCTAATATCAGATTTCTTCCCGTGTATTTTTCTCCTTACCTTACTTATTTTTCTCACGCCGCTGTGTATATAGGATGCATTAGAAATGGCATTCCATCAGTCATAAATTATTCTCTTGCAGTGGAAATTTCTAATTGCTATTTTTCCTGCTTTTGCAACAACGTACTGTCACGTTTATCGCCAGGTATCTATGGATCTTCATTTTCCCTTTAATACTTGGTACAGGCATCAAGTATGCACGCTTGTGTACAATTTGTGGTGACAGTATTCCCCTCTACGAATCATCGATGATAAATAGATAGCAAATACTTCAAGCGAGTGCGGGGAAACATGAGTCATTAAGCAAAGTAATAATAGCATTCTGAAACCTGGCGAGCCATTAGCTTTTCATCCCTCATTCCCCTCGGAACTCTCTTGCGTTCCATGTCCGATATGCTCGTTTGATATCGGTTGTCTTCACACATATTAATATGCCAACATACTCTCGCAACGTGTACACATGCACAATGTGAGTTCAACGGGTGAAGAATAGGTGAGCTTAGTGTGGAGGGGTGAGAACTCACTCACCCTCTCGCACATGCACTAATCTTCCCCCCCCCCTTAGTCGCTCAATTATTCACTCTTCTACAAACGTCTATTACTCATTCACCTATACACACGCATCCACTTATTCATCTGAATGTGTGAACAGAAAGGGGGAGAAAGGGTGAATAGGGAATAAGGATGAGTGAGAGAGGTAGAATAAGAAAGTAGATGAATATCTGAGTATACTCCACCACTAAACTCACCCAATCACCCACCCATTCACGCGCTCACCTAGAATCGCCCACCTTTTGTTTCCTCATCTATTCGATCACTTACTCATCCCCTCACCGATCTACCGACCATCCACTCCACTCGCTCACTCACTCCCTCGCCCACACATTCATCCATTTACTCACAGTACCCACTCACCGGATAAAACACTTGGAGAAATCTTCAGAATTTAAAACATATGGAGGTTTGATAAAAAAAGAAAAAAAAAAGGGAGGAAGTTATACGTCTGTCATATAACACTAACGTGTCATAAGTGTGCGCGCTTACTGTGCTCAGCAGAGTGCTGCCATCTACATTTATTCAGACAAGAGAACAAATGTAATAAATCTAAAGTTAGTTACGCGAACTGTGCAAACTAAAAGTGATATTACACAAGAATGGCTGAATAGTTTTTGGAAAGTCTACAACGATATGCACGGATACGTACCTCTTCGAAGCTTCTTGAAGTGTTACTTAACACTTGAACATAAGATATGATACCAAATGCACAAGTTTACGACGATAGCACGCGTTATGTTTAAATATACTTGCATAAGCATATTGATTAACCATGCGAATGCTAAAATTTTCCGGCAAAAATATTTATACGTAACGTTCGATTCCTGAATGCATGGATATATGAAGCAACAAAACACCCAATTAATGCTTATCGCGTAAGATTCGAGTAATCGGTATTATCACGCAGTAAACGTCGCATCATCGCTCTCAACATATAAAAAGGCGCGAGAGCGCGGTGAGTAGAATAAAGCAAAGTAGAATTTGCGTGTGCGTTTCAACAAGATTAAAATCGCCCGTAGATCCGGAACGATCGAAACAATGATAAAGTAGTGCGCCAGAATTTAGTTCCGCGCGAAAGAAGTGGAAATCCTGCCGCGGCGTGCAGTCACCGGCATGCCATCTCGACCCCTTTGGCTCTCTCAGACGGCTAGCGCATAAATCACGCGGATTTACGATCCCGGTTAAAAAGGGTAACGCAATATTTATAGTCATCTCATGCAGTTACAAATAACAAATTGAACTTTTATATAAACGTGCCCGCGTTCCCAAGGACCCCTAGCTAGCCGGGCACAGATTTTAATTATCGATATCGATTTATTGCCAATACATATTAATGCCGCACCGTGTTACCCCGTGTACCGGTGTTTATTCATATTGATGGAACTAGATTGAAACATAAACCGGATATGCAAACAACTGCGAGAGTTAAATCGTTCGATACTGTTGCGATAAAAAAGGGGAAAAAAAGAAACGGTGTACACGCGGCCGGGCGTGGAAATATTCGTTCGGTGTCCCCGGTGTCGCGTCGACTCTAATTTATCATTAAACGGATGCTCGCGTTTTACGGTTGCGTGGACACGCGGCACACAGAGAATATTTTATAGCGACGCGGATAAGCTCGTTCATTGTCCTGGGTGTCGTGCATTCGCGCCTTCTTTAGTTTACGGCCAATATTACGTCGGCAGCATGTTAATGGACTTGCCACGTCGTTCCGTGCCAAAACAGGATTTTTGGGATAACCCACTTTGAGAATGCGCGTCATCGATGGCGCGGGCTTGCTTGGGACATACATTTGGACATGACTCCCCGCGATCGTACATTCAAATCGTTTCTTTAGCTAGGAAAATTCGCTCGCTTACTCGTCGACTCGATATACTCGAAAGGAATTGCAATTTTTCTCACAGTAGCCGCTCCACACATCTGGCGCTCTCGCGTTCTCATTTATCTTAACCTTTCTTCAAGCGCGGATTAGCCTACCGCCTACTTAATACGTATCTTGTGTGATACCGGTTGAAAATTTCTTTCGCGCACACATGACACGGAGAAGCCCACATATGGCATGAATTTTGGCGGACATCGCGCGGTAGGTATCGTTCGCGCGCACTTCGGGCCGAAAAAATATTTTTGCAGGCAGATGCGCACGTCCGTCGCTGTAACGGGGCCAACGAGTTTGAACGCCCGTCACGAAAAAAAGAGAGATTGAAAAAAGATAGAGAGAGAGAGAGGGAGAGAGAGAGATAGAGAGAAAGAGAGAGAGAGAGAGAGAGAGAGAGAGAAGAGGGTAGAGAGGAGAAGCGAGAAAAGGGTGGACGGAGAGACGGAGAACCGAAAAAGTCGGGGAGAGATGGGACGGGCGAATGAGTGGGTTGAGTGAGTGAATGACAGACAGACAGCAACCAGACAGGAGACTGACAGCGCGGCGGCGGGCTGACAGCTTGCCACTCTGCCGTGCGTTCGTAACATCAAGTATTACCGGCTACCGTGCGTGTTGATCCTCATACCATTCATCGGCAAAAAGCCGGCGAGCTTCCGATTTTGCCCTGTCTTTTGTCACACTGCCGCTGACGGGCTCCGCGCGATGTCATTTTCAACGCAATGGCCATTACGTTCTGTTCCAATTAAAAGAATAACGTGTCAGCTAAACCAAAGTTCCTCTACCTTTCGCAACGTTGAAACTTGTTAACGCGCGCGCGCGCGCTTCCATGAATAACGTACGAATATACGAACGTACGAATAGAATACAAGGTATGCGTTAGGAGGATATAACGCGTAAGCTTGAGAGCGGCACATGCTAGACGATATAATAGGCGGTATTTACGTGTCGGCGGTAAGCGAACCAGAAAATATTTTGACGTGCAGTCGAGTCACGATCTCTGAAATTACCGCGCCGTTTTTATCGCGCCGTCTTTGTTACGAATAGTAGCGACAGTTCTCAGAAAATGCGAATTATTGTCAAAAGCAAACGCGCGGCAAGGTATGCTTATGACTACAAATTAAGTGCAATTCCGACGGTCGTGACGACGTAACAACAGCTCGCTACGTAATTATTCGACGCAATTGTCAGGTCCCCGGAGCGCGCGGCGTACCGCGTTTGTGAAATTGCGGTTAAATTATAGCCGTTCGCCGTTTGACGAATATCATTCACGTGCACGGTGCTAAATACACAGGCCTGTACACGGTTATGGCTTATCGACGAGGACGACTCGGAGCATAGCCGGAGGTGTTGCTGTCATTTAAGGGCAGGGAAAATACTCTGTACATGTGGAAAAAGTATCTTGTGAAATAATATAGTGTAATATGCGTAATAGGCGGACGCACGCAGCTGCTAGGCGTGATATCGCGTATATCGCGTAAACCTGTTCTCTCTCTCTCTCTCTCTCTCCCCCCCCTCTCCCCCCC